GAAAGAAAGAAAGAAAGAAAGAAAGAAAGAAAGAAAGAAAGAAAGAAGGGAAAGGAAGGAAGGAAGGAAGGAAGGAATCTCTTGTTCCCCTGTAATAATTCCAGCGGAGCCGTCAATGGCCAAAGCGGTGCATGTGTAAACTCACTCCCATTTTTTCCTAAACAGTGCCACCTACTGTCCATTTTAAGTCATCGGGAGACGTGTTGGCGAAGACCAAACAAATAAAGGAGAGATTAACCGGGAAAAGTAACTCTTTCCAGCTTTAGGGCATTGGAAAAAAAAAAAAAAAAAAAATTGAGAAAAGAGCGCCTGGGAGCAAATGGAAGCATTCTGACTCGCCAGCTTCTTAGAAGGCTCGCAAGAAGCAAAAGCCATTCATTCAAGCCATTCTCTTGGAAATGGCTTTTTTCTCCTGGCGCTGCCTCCGAGTTCTCCAGAGCACGGTTTTTATTTTATGCTTTGTTTATAATGCATGCTGCTTGCGTATTTTTACATGAGGGGTTCAAGTTAGGAAAAAAAAATATGATCATGTTTTCACTTTTTCCGTTACCCAATACGAAAACGTCTGTGTAAGGAAGCTCTGACACTTGACGTATGCTCAGAAACTTTTGAGCTCCGGGGAAGAAAGGGTTAACATGCGGTAGACCTGTAGCTGATTTTACTCAGAGTCGCAGGCGACTTTCGAATTTCCAGGTGTGTGTACACACACACACACACACACCCCTCCCGGATCTCTCTCCCCTTGGCTGTTCCTTAGCCTAAGGGCACCATTTGGCCTTAAAGTGAATTAGCGGGAACAGTATGGGGAGTTATTTCGCGAAGAGGGAATCCTTGAAACTCACCCTGGAGTTCAGGGATGTCTGCAAAGCGCGACCTCCCCGCTCCACCGCTGGAGGGAAGGAAGGAATCAGGTGGTGACCAGCATCTGTGCAGTGAATTTCTCTGCACACGTTAGCAATCAAGTTAATTGAATTCATTGGAGTTTAGAACCGGCCTCTAGCTCAGAGAGGGCTTTGAATGGCCAATTTCTCGTTCTTCCTCTCCCCCTCCCCGCCTCCCGCCGGCCCGCCCGCCCGCGCTCCCAGTTCCCTCCCCTCCGGGTTCCCCAGTCCGCACCTCCCTTCTCCACTCCCCTCACCCCCCACTCCCTCCTCCGCCCTATTAAAACACCCACCAGCTCACTTGTTAAGACCCCCTTAAGTTGGAGGAGGCAGAAAGGCAACAACAGCGAGGAAGGAGAAGTCAAGACGTCTGGAAAGAATTACCCAGTCCTGGCTTCCAGCAGCCCATTGAACCAGGGACTTGAACCAGCCCCAGCCAAAGACTTTCTCCTGATTCTGCGCTTCCTGGGTTCTTCTGAGTCTTCACCGGGCTTTTCTTGATCCGAATAAGAAAAGAGACTTTCCGATATCAGGGGAGGGGGAACTGAAGCAAAAAATAAAATAAAATAAAATAAAGTTAATTTATTTTTAAAGCACAAATTTTTCTTTTAAGAATTAGACTGAAGTGCAACGGAGATATTAAACAGAATAGTAGTGATATTTACTTTTAAAGTGGGGGAGAACCAAACATTTAAGACTCCCCCATCTTTTTAAATGTTGTTTTTAAATTTTTTATTTTTTTTGGCCGGTCGTCTCAAATTCATCTGATCTCTTATTACCTCAATTTTGGAAACTGCCAGCCACCAACCCTCCGGGACCACACAGACAGGCTGAGGACAACTTTATGACCAAGAGCTGAACAAGGTACGTTACACTGGCGCGATATGGTGAACCAGGAGGGCCCCCCGAATAGGCCAGGGAGAGGGAAGAAATTATCCACGTAAGTGTTAGAAAATTGTAAAGCTGGTTTTCGACAGATAGGTTTGAGGTCTGCCAATTTCCAACAGACTGAAAATCAGGGGCTACTTCAGATCACTGTCAGGCCTGGCACTGTATTCCTGCCCTTTCTCATCCCTGCGGCGCTCGCCAGAAATCCGCTGCCTTTCTGGGAACACAGGTAACCTCTCTGCCTGGGAAAAGACTGCGTGTCCCGGGATGTACTTTTCCACTCCTCATCTTCCGGAGCCGCAGAGGGGCTCCCAAGTTGGGAAATAGGAATTTCCACTGTGCAAGGAAAATGCATTCCGCACAGCACCCCCACTCCCCCCCGCTTTGCCCCTATCCTTTCCATCCCTCCCCACCCCCCCACCTCTCCACACTGTACGCGGGGAGGAAAACCCTGCAACAGTCCAGAGCCTTTTCCTTTCAAGTGGGAAACCCGCTTCTTACTTGGAAAGCAAAGGGTTAAAGCGATCCGGGCTCCCAGCTCCGGAGAGCCGGGACCCCCGAGAAGGAGGGTCCTTTGCCACCTCCTCGCGGCTACCGGCCTCGCTCGGCCACTCCCACTTGCCCCGGCTTCCCTTCCTTTGCTCCCCTCCGACCCTAGGAAAGTGTCAGGCTGGGTCTGCCCCGGCTCTGCTCGGCTCCGGAAGCCTTACTCAGGCCGGGGGTCCCTGACGCGGGCGGTGGCACTCAGGGACACCAGAGGGAGGAGGGCGCGCGCCCCTCTTCCCGCCGCCGCCCGGGAGCAGGGCGTGCGTGGGGACCGGGCGCTGCAGCGCAAGCAGCTGCAGCGTCCCGGGAGCCAACTCCGACGTGGCACCGAGCACGCTGGCGCTTCTTTCCGCAGCTGCAGCGCGGGGCCGGGAGGGTGGGGGGCCTGGGGGTGCCGTCCCTCGCGCCCGGCCGGGAGGTGGGAGCCGGGGGCCCGCGGTAGCCGGGGCGAAGTGGGAGGCGAGCCAGAGGTTGGGTCGGGATGGATAATCAACACCTTGGGCGGAATTCGTCACGCCGGTTCCCGCCCAGCGTGAGCGAGGGCTCCGAAGTGGGTCCCTGCGAGCGGGAGGGCGGGTCTGAAAGGAGGGTCTGTGTGCGGGCGGGATGGGCTGGCGGCAGAGCCTCTTCCCTCCGGCCAGGGAGACTCACTCAGCTGAGGGGAAGCGGCGCTGAAAGAATAATTAAGGCTGGAAAGAGGGGCTGGGAGCGGAGAGGCGGTGCCTGGGGAGGAGGGTTTACGAGACCCGGGTCCTGTTACACCGGTTTAGGTGCCAGCGCCTCTCCTGCATCCCACCCCTCCATCCCCCCAGCCGCTCTCGTGGTGTACTTGGACTCAGCAGCCCTGCGCGCCTCCGGGCGCGCGAGCAGCTACAGCCGTGCGCCTCGAAGGTGCGTGTCGGAGTCCTGGCGGATCCTCCCTGGCCGCTTCCCCCCGCCTGGGGACCGTTGCAGCGGGGCGTCTCCCGAGCAGCTGCCCAGAACCGCTGCACTCCAACCCACGTGGCTGGCCTGGGATTGCCTTTGACGTCACACCCTGGGGGGAGGTGTGACGCAATAGGTCGGGAAGCTCTGATTGGCTACAAAGGGCTTCCCCGACCTGGCAGCCTGAGTATATATAGACTTTCAGCTCAGGGTTAGGAGTAGAGAGCAGGTTATTGGTAGTTGGACTTTGCTGGGGAAGTGAGGGTGACGACTAAGAGGGGGGTAGATTTCACTGCCTTTTGTAGATTTCAAGCATTTCTCCTCGCAGATTTTTCATTGCAGTGAAGGAGTAGGATAATGTATTTTGGGAAAGCGTTAAAGGGGATTATGATTTTTTAGAAAGGTAATTTTAACTTTTTAAAAGGTCAGCACGTATTCAGACACATTCAATGATGAAAGGCTTAAAATTAAAAGGTGTATTTATATAGATTTGGTTAGGACAAATATTTATGCCCGTTAAACTGTTGTAGATACGATTTTAAGTTTTGAGACTAGGATTGAAAAGAATACTGAAGTTCTAAACATCTTCTTTTCATTCCAGTGTGTGCAAATTGACTCATTATATTTTCTCTGCGTTTTTCTAGATGCTAAATAAGATTACTCAAACTACTGAGGTACTGCCTTTTTACGTTTACTTTTATTTTTATTATTTACTATTGATTGATTGGTACTGCATTTATAATACCCATCATGCTCATTGCAGGTCTTTTTACTCCTTGGCTATTTTACATTTTCAATAAAAGGTTAACTCTTTAAAGTTGCCTATTATAGTATTTATATTATGTCATGTGTAAGTTTGCAGTTTTGGAACAAGTATTCAGAATTCTAGGTCAACATTTTTCAATGATAGCATTGGAATTAGAATATCCACACTCCTACTCACTTTTTCTTCCCTATTTCCTGAGGTGGGAGAGTAGGAAAATGTCTTGTAGATAATATTGGCCAATGTATTACTCGGTATTGTACCTAGAGCCAAATCTTTACTTTACCAGAGAAAGATCTGCATCTTTGATAAACTAAGGTCTTAAATTGGTGATTAGTCTCGAATTTGAATGTCACTCTCCAAAGCAAAGGAAGTAGCTGCCATCCTGGAACACAGGAATTGAGCAACAAATGAATAAGAAACTTCCTAGAAAGTAAGTCAGATTGAAACTAACTGTTCTTGTTAGGTTTATAGAAGAACCTCATAGTTTAAACTCTTTTTTTTTTTTTTTAAGATTTTATTTATTTATCTGACAGACAGAGATTACAAGTAGGCAGAGAGGCAGGCAGAGAGAGAGGAGGAAGCAGGCTCCCCGCTGAGCAGAGAGCCGGATTCGGGGCTCGGTGCCAGGACCCCGGGATCACGACCCGAGCGGAAGACAGAGGCTTCAACCCACTGAGCCACCCAGGCGTCCCTCATAAACACTTTTATACATGGTTTCCGTACCAGCTTTCTTTTAAACCTTTTTTTTTTTTAAAGAGCTGACCGAGAGAGAGAGAGAGAGAGAGAGAGAGAGGTGGGGGAGGGGTAGAGGGACAGAGAGAAGCAGACTCCCCTCTGAGCCGAGAACTTCAAGTGGGAATCAGTCACAGGACCCTAAGATCATGACCTGAGCCGAAGGCAGACATTTAACCAACTGAGAGGCCGAGGTGCCCCTGAGACAATTTTCTTTCTTGAAATTTTAGGCACAGACTGCTCACGGTTTTATTTATTATCTATTATTAGAACTATGGGGAAAGCCCTTATGGATAATGTATAGGTCCCCTTTGGCCAAGTTATATTACAGTGTTACATTTTTTTAATTGAAGTGTGGTTCACACACAATGTTACATTAGTCTCAGGTGTATAACACAGTGATAGAACAAGTTTGTTCTTCATGCCATGCTCTCCACCAGTATAACTACCCAACCCCTCCCATCATCGGACAGTACTACAGTACCATGGACCGTTTTCCCTATGCTGTGCCTTTTACCGCTTGACTTACTTACACAGTTACATTTTTTTCAATCTAAGAACAAGTGGTTTGTTGAATTATTAGCTTCTTGACTTTTGTGTAATGTGGGAGTGCTGAGTTAATGTAATTGGAGAACAGAACATAAACTCCACTGTCCCTTTCTGGGTTCTGTTTTTTTGTTTTTTTTTAATTCAAATTCACTCAGGTTGTGTCCCACTAAGAGGCTGCAAGGACCAAGCCAGTGGCAGCTGGTATGACAGCTGAATGGGGAGACAGCTCCCTGCAGAAAAGTCATTGCCACCCTAACTTGGTTTTAATCCTTTCCTCTCTAGGAGCAATCTGCATAGAATAAGTATCATGCCGGTGCATAGACCTTAAGTTATTCAAGTATATCTTGAATGTCATCAGTGTATACAGATGTATAGAGTGTGTGTGTGTGTATATATATATATGTATGGCCTTGTCTACAATGTCTTTCCAAGATACTCTCAAGGTGGGACTTGAACACCCGGAGATCGAGAGTTGCATGCTCTGTTGGCATAGCCAGCCAGGTACCCCTCACAGTCGAGGAAGATGTTACTGATATAGGACTCAACATTAAATATAATGAGGTTACACTCTTAAATATATATTTTTTAAGATTTATTTATTCAGGGGAGAGAGTGAGCACGAGTGAGCAGGAGCACAAGCTGTGGGGAGGGGCAGAGGGAGCGGAGAAGCAGGCTTCCCACTAAGTAAGGAGCCAGATGTGGGCTCAATCCCAGGACCCCAGGATCATGACCTGACCTGAAGGCAGACAGATACTTAACTGCCTGAGTCACCCAGGTGCCCATCTTAAATATTTTTTTTAACTTAAATAATAAAATAGAAAAGAATGCCTCTTAAATGCATAATTTTTACTGCAAAGTTCTAAAAAATAAGATGCAGTTTGCATTTTAATGGAATTTGTCATACAAAAAATATACTCAGAGAAGTCTTTATAAATAACCATAGTGTAAGGCAAAATATAATGGGGACCATAAAAAAGTAAAATAATAGCTGCTATATATCACATCTAATATGTATCAGGCACTGAATTAGATACTTATATACATTATGTCTAATCCCAACCCCCCATAAAGAAGATTCTGTAGTTAAAGGAACCTTGCCTCAGAATGATGAAGCAACTCAGTCAAAGTCAGTGTTTAGAGAGGAGTGTGAATGTAATTGAACTCACTAATTCTTGGGTTCCTGGGTGGCTCAGTTGGCTAAGCAGCTGCCTTCGGCTCAGGTCATGAACCCAGAGTTTGGGTATCGAGTCCTGCATTGGGCTCCCAGCTCCATGGGGAATCTGCTTCTCCCTCTGACCTTCTCCCATCTCATGCACTCTCTCACACACTCTCAAGTAAATAAAATCTTTAAACAAAAAAATCCAGTAATTCTCAAATATAAGGCCCCTGAACTGGTCTATGCTGCAGCCGGACTAGTCAAATTTTATGGGGGCCAGCGTTGAGGAGAAACCACATCTGA